ATTTGTGTCTGTCTGGGTGGGGGGGAGCCAGCCACACCCGGTGTGGAGGTGGGAGGACAAGCCTGGAGTCGGTTCTCCACGCAGGAAGGCTTCCGGCCTTGCAGTCAGGGCACCAGGCCTGCAGGGCCAACTACTGCTCCTGCTGTGCCCTCTCGCCAGCCCAGGCTTTTATTACTTTGGCTAATTTTTAATTTTTAAAAATGATTACTTTGTGTATGGTGTGTGGGTGTGGATGAGCCGCAGAATACAGGCAAGTCAGAGAACAACTTTGTGGAGCTGGCTCTCTCCTCTACCTCAGCATGGGTCCCAGGGGCGCCAGGCCTGCCTAGCAAGGACCCTGACCTGCTGAGCCATCTCAGCAGCCCAGGCTTTGGGTTTTGTGGTTGGTTGTTTTTGTTTTCACGTGTTTTTGAGAGAGGGTTTCTCTGTGTAGCCCTGGCTGTCCTGGATCTCATTCTGTAGACCAGGCTGACCTTGAACTCAGAGATCCGAGTGTCTCTGCTTCCTCAGAGCTGGGATTAAAGGTATGTGCCATCACTATTCCCGAAGAGTTATTAATTTTTAATTTGTGTGTGTCTGTGTGTCTGTGTGTCTGTGGGTATGTGCATGTAAGTACAGATGGCCTTGGAGGCCAGAGGTGTCCGATCCACTGGAGCTGGGTTATAGGCAGTTGTGAGCAACTCGATGTGTGTAGAGTCCACAATAATTCAAAGACATTAGCCGCCTACGCCGATTCTTCTGTTGCAGACCCTTGTCCCATACGAAAGGAACAGTTGGTTAAAAATTAGGACAAGACCCCAGCTGTGTCAAGAGCTGTGTTAAGATAACCACAGACATGTGTAAACATGCTTTTACAACCCCGTTAAACTTGTACAAACACCTTGTCATCACAAATTGTACTGATTGTAATATGTTATCACAAGTTGTAAATTCCCGGAATGTACTGTCACCCAAGAGTTAACCTCAATTGTAAAAACTATTTTCTTATCATCACCCCTCACCTCCCTACTTGTGGCTTTTGCTTTAAAAGGGACCTACTCCCTCTGCTCGGAGTCACAGCGTCAGAACCTGACCTGCCTGTGGCCCTAACTAGCTAGGAGT